ATGTAGATGTGGTGCTTAAGGACATGGTTTAGTGGTGGGCTTGGCACTGTCAGATTTAGGGTTGGACTTCTTAGTGTTCTTAAAGGCCTTTTTCATGCTAAATGACTCTGTGATTCTCTCTCCTGGGTTCTGCTTGGTCCCTGCAGACAGCTGTCAGTGGAAGAAGTCACTGGAATGATGTTGAGAAGGTCTGCACGTCTGTCAACCTCAGCAAAGCCTGCAAGAAGTATGAAGAACTTGGTGAGTAGAGCTGGCTGTGCCTAGGGAACAGTGGGAGGGACTGGTGGAGTGAGAGGACAGTGTGGATCTTCTGGCTGGGGCAAATGAGGGCTGTGTGAACACAGGAGATACATGGGAGGTACCTGGTGTTCCCTAGTCCTTGGCTGTCCTTTTCACCACATCAGGGACAAAGGGAATTTCATGTCAGGTTTCCAGTTAATAAAACTTTGAGCCCTTTAAAAGCACCAAGACTTTTATTCCCTGTGTGTATTTAGAAGCAATAGATTCACTGAATGTCTCACACCATGTGCCTGAGAGCATTGTTGAAATGCTTCTTGAACTCAGACAGGCTTGGTGCTGTGACCACTGCCCTGGGGAGCCTCTTCCAGGGCTCAACCACCCTTTGGGTGAAAAACCTTCTCCTGAGATCCAACCTAAATCTCCCCTGCCTCAGCTCCAGCTGTTTCCTCAAGTCCCCTCACTGGTCACGACAGTGATCTGTTTGTTCTTGCTCAAGAACTGCTGGTTTGGCATTCAGACATCCAATTCTGAATAAACTGAGGAATTTTAGTTCCTTTTTCCTTGTGTGCTTTCTTCCTGGCAGATGTGTGGTTTGTGAGCAGAATAGTCAGGGCAAACAGGTGATCTACCAAACAGGAGACATCCCCTACATCCTCCATGGAGCTCCACCTAAACCTCTGCCCCTCCTGTGTCTCCTCTTGCTGCCCCATCCATGCAACCATGCAGACAACTCTGGGAGAAAAACCAGCAGGAATTAGTTTCTCACCTCCTCTGTACTCCGAGTTGGTTGTTTCTCCTCTAGTTCAGGAGCTTCACCTGTGCTGCCAGGGCTGTGGGTTTGAATCAGGGGTGTCCTCAGTTTCACTCTGAGGAGAAACTTCACAGATCTCTCTCCTTCCAAGAGAAATCTGGTCCCCTGGATATCTCCATTGGTTTTCACATTCAGCAGTTTGACCACAGGGTGTCACTGTGACTCCAGGCATGAAGAAGCATCTCCAAGTGGATATGCTGGGAGAGCTAAAATTTCCTCATGATGATGGGGCAATGTTTTTTCTCCTGTTTGGGTCATAAGATAGTTAAATGTCCTCCTCCCTCTGTGTCCCTGTTGCTTGCTTTCCATGTGGATTAGCCTGAGGGAAGGAAAGCTGGAACTGTATTGCATTTCCCCCAGCAATGGGGTCCTGCTGGAGCCACTGGCCCTGGGGTGCTTTGAGGGGTGGAGGGACCACTTGGGTTCTCACCAGCGGTCCAGAATCCCCAGTTGATTGCAGTTCTGTTTTGTTACAGCCTCGAAGACAGAGTGCCTCAACTTAACCATGACAGAGGTGGTCAAAAGGCAAAACTCCAAGTCCAGAAAAAGTTTCAATCAGGTAACTCTAATCATGGTGCTTTTACACTTGGTAAGGCGAGGTTGGCCTGACCCAGCTGGGAGGGAAGCAGGGCTGGAGAGGGCAGTTCTTTAGGGGATCTGTTTGCCTTAGGGGTGCCCAGGGGAATGCACTGAGCCCAGCAGCTCCCTCACTCCAGCTCTCCTTCTCTCAGCAGATCAGCGTGTCGCAGATAAAAGTAGACAAGGTCCAGATTATCGGTGTCCAGTCCTCCTTTGCTGTGTGCCTGGACCAGGACGAGCAGAAGATCCTGCAGAGTGTAACCAGGTAGGAACTGAAATGGGGCCAACTGCACTCCTGGGAGGGTGCATCCTGTGTCCAGGGCTTACCTGTGAGCTGTGGGGGGGATGAGGTCCTGAGCACCCTGGTGGGTCTGTGCCAGGTGCTCAAGCTGGGTGACGCAGCCCCAAGCTCTGCAGGGCAGCTGAGCTCAGCTGGGATGGGTGGTCCTGCTCAGATCTCAGCAGGAGTTCACCTTCATGAAGGCCCCAGTCAGCTCTTCAATCCCAAAGGCAGCTCTTTCAGCAAGATCCATCGTGAGCAGGAGGCTGTGTGAGGTAAATGAGGTGTTTGAAGATCGCTGGGTGCGTGAGCAGAGCCTTCAACTTCTAAACCTCATTTGGGTCCTTCCCTGCCTTTGGCATCCCCGCTGCAGAAGGAATCCATGATCTTTGTGGGAGAGTTAGGGGTAGAGCAGGAATTGTCCACTGGACTGTTCATCTCTGTTGTCCCCTCAGGACACCCAAGTGGCTCCCCAGGTGGTGAAATTTGACATCTCAGTGTAGACAGCAAGCTTCCATGAACACAAGAGATCAAACCAGCTGATGGACAGACATTGTAATTTCTCCCTCAGACTGAGCAGAACTCTGCAAGGTTATGCTGCTTCCAACAGAAAAATATTGGGGATCTTATGTCTTAAATAACCCCAAAGAGAAGTGTTTCTCTTTAAATTGTTTATTGTGAAACTCAGGGGATAGTGGAGTTCAGTGCATGAAATGGTAAAGGAGCTCCTTCCGTCTCCCCGAAACTTCTGGGATGCAAAAGTTGTTGTTTTTGCAATGAGTTTCAGAAAATACTCTTTATGGCTGGTTCTGCTCTTGGTCCCAGTCTGAGCCAGCTGAAAGGCCTGAACTCCCAGCACTCAGACTCCAGTCCTGTTAAAGGCTGCACTGATCCCTGCTTGGTTTTAGATATTCCTGCTGCACCTGAGGAATAGCAGGGTATACTTAGAATATCCTATATTATCAGAATATCCTACACTATAATATTAGAGTATACCTAGAGCTTGGTTTCTCTTTGTTCCCCTGCAGGTGTGAGATCTCTGTGTGCTACAAACCCAGGGACAGTGATCCCTTTGCACTCAGAGGGTCCCCTCTGCCTGCCCAGGACCCCTCTGAGTTCCACTCTCTCCTGTGTTTACCCATTGCCACCTTCAGTGGAGCACTGCCTTGAAGACCCCTGTGTCCTTCCAGACCAGACTCCCATCCAACAGCAATCCAGGCTCAGGAAGAGGAAGCTGATTGTCCTGCTTTGGACACCCAGCCGTGCTCATCCAAGACATCCTGTAGCTGAAGGCTGGTGGCTGAGCTGCTCCTGCTCTGGGCTTAGCCCATTTTTGGGAAATGGGAATGTTGGTGGTGTGCTCTGGTATCTCTCAGGGTTCCTCAGCAACGGGAGGAAAGTGGTTTCCTTGAGATCTCCACCTGGCAACACCTGAGTGAAGAGGGCAGGGCAAGGACAGGGGGATTTTCCTGCCAGCAAGTGGTGCTGTGGCTGTGTTTGACAGAGACTGCAAGGCCAGGGGGGTCTGGGGTGGGGGAATTGAGCTCACTGGGGGGATATTTTGGCAAATGAATGTCCTTGGCTGAGTGGTGGTAGGTGTCCTCCAGTGTGTGTGGAGTTACAGATCACCCAGCCAATGTCACTTCACCTGTGACAGGTCGAGGACGCTCAGGGCAGTTGTTTGGGGATGGGATGGGCTTTCTCAAGGTTTACTTAAAATTCTGGAGGTTGGGTGTCTTGCAGACAAGCAGAGCAACCCAGCAAGCCCCCAGCATGGGCTGTAAACTGCTGTGTGTTCCAATGAATTGAGTGTCATAGGCCATTCCAGGGCATGGGCAGCACGTTGTGTATCCGTGTATTTAATGGACATCCAGGACCTGCAGGAGAGGAGTTTCCAGTTTCTGCAGAATTTCAGCATTCACCCATGAGTATTCCCTGTTCAGCCGCTGGTCTTGCTTCCTGTTCCCCAGCACTGTTTGCTGGAGACACTCCAGAGGCTGAACCCTCAAGAGCTGCTTGAAATACATCAGGAACTGTGCTGAACTCAGGGAGGGAGGGAAGTGCTGGGGAAACCACTAGGATTGCCTTAAGTTCACCTAAAGAGGCACCTTTGATAGAGAAAGACCCAGCACCAGAACCTTTATGACACTTGCAAGGGACAGTAGGATTTGAGATCCCTCTTCCTGGCAAGACTCATTCCCCCCCTCTTCCTTCTCTCTGCAAGGCTGTAGGTACAGAAAGGTGCAATATTTGGGGGTATTTAGAGGTATTCTGACCCAATGAGCAAAAAAATAAGACTGGGAAAGCCTTTCCAGGTTTCTTAGCCCTCCAGCTGTTTCTTGGTAGTTTTTGGGGATTGTGGTCCTTGCTGGCTTTGGTGTCCTCAGCAGTTGAGTGTAACTTCTGCCAGTGGCCAGAGAGGAGCAAATACGAGACATGAACACACTCCTGAGGCCTCTGTGCTCCATCCTTCCACGTGAATCAACCATCCCAAGGATGGTGTTGCCTTGGGGACTCCAAGAAAAGACTCTCCTGTGGGCTGAAGGATCCACTGAACATGAACACTGAACAGCTCTGGCTCCACCAGGACCCACCTTCCCCAGCCATGCACCAACTCCAGGAGCACCCATCTCTTCCTGCATGGAGCAGTGTCCATCCCTTGCTCTCAGCACAGACTTGGCAGGTCGTGCTGGGCTGTCTCCTCCCCCACAGGCTGCCTGCAGGGTGATGCAGGACCACTGAGGTCACTGCTGTGCACTTCTCTCCATCACTATTTGAAGTCCATAAGGCTCAAGGGATCAGAAACAGATCAGTAATGGCTCTTGGAATAAGTTTTCTTCACTGACTTTCCATTTCCCAGACAGGTTTGTGTGTGTTTTCTCCAATGGGGCTGAAATTTGGCAGCTGGTTATTGTTGTCCAATACTTTAAAATAGCACCTTATCCTGTCAAAACATTGCTATTTGTGATCTTGATGTCTGTGGCTAAATATACCCCTGCCACTGGTATGATATCAGCCACTCTGCTTTCAGCTGGCCCTCCAAGAATACTGGAGAAGAGAATTTCCATCCCATAGAGGAAAAACAAGCACAGACTCTAAGGACTCGTACTCCTGGCCAAGGTTTTGACCTCTGATGCTTTCTGGAAAGGAAAGAATTGCAGAGTTCTTTCAGGTCATCCTTGTACATATGTGCAGCCTCACCAAATCTGTGTAAAGTCTGTGCTGATCTGTAAAATATTGTTCAAAGAACTTTTAAAGTGATTGTAAAATATTAAATGTTGATTTATTTCGAGTACAAGTTTGGGTCAAGTAATTCCTGAGCAGGGGGGAGGCAGGGGAGGAACCTCCACGAGGAGAACACATGGGTCCTGCACTGAGGAGCTGCTCTGGGAGCAGAAAAAAGCTTAGAAAAGCCATTCTAGTCATGAGAGAGGAGACCTCTGGAAGTTAATTGAGCTGCTTCTGTTCCGTGAGTGAAAACGCAGGTTTTGATGTTGTAAATTCCAAATTGGCTTCATGCTGGATTAAGGAGAAAAGAAACGAGCAGAGCTCATGTGCAAGGTGAGATCTGGGCGTGCCCTTCCCTTCCTGGAGCCTCTTGTGACCTTTGCTTTGTTGATTTGCTCCTGGGGCCAGGGACAAGGTCCAGCCTGGGGGGACAGCAGAGCTCTGGGATGAAGGGTCCCTGCTCAGGGTCAGCAGGGCTTTGCCCAGCAGCTGGATATTACAGAATATGCTGATAGTGGGGCAATTCTGACTTGGAAATCCCTTCTTTGGGGATGCAGACTGGCAGCTGGAGCTGTTGCTACTGAAAGTGCTCTGAAATATGAAATGCCACTTGGAAACACTGAACTCTGTCCAGTGTCACCTTCTCCTCCTGTAGATATTCCAGGAAAGAGGCTCAGCTGGTAGGTGTGAGGGCCACTGTGTCATGACCAAATAAACAACATGGGAAAAGTCATTTGAGTTCAGACAAGCCAAAAACCAGGTGAGAATAATTTCTGTTAATTAGCACTTTGTTATGGATTAGCTATTTTTTTTTTCACTGATTAAACAATAACAAAAAGTGTATTTTAACTGAAAAGAAAAGGTCTTTTGAAAAGGCAGATAAGGCAAATTTTCCAAGCTGGAATAATAATCTGCTTTTGTTTGTTCTCAACAGCAAAAACACCCCTAAAGCACAAATTCTCCCCCTCTCTTCTCTTCTTTTACAGAGGTAGGTGGAAAGAGGAACATGTATGATTAAATCCAAAGCAGCAAGAAAGTACTTTGTTCTGAAAATGTACATGCCAAGAAGTTTGGGATCAGGGTCGAAGTCTGATCCCTGAAGTCCTGCATACGTGAGGGGAAGTGGCAGTTTCAGGTGCTTGTCATCCCCCAGCCACCTCAGCTGGGCTTGGCAGAGCTGGAATGTTCTAGTGCGTGAGGTGAAGAAAAACAGGAGGCAGTGCTTATCCAGAGAAAGGGTTCTTAATTAAGTGGCCACTCATGATCTGATGGTTAATTAGAAATACAGAATTAATTACCATCAAAATACAGGAATGAGATTGCACGTCCGTGGGCTTGTGCAGCTCAGCACTGCTGAGCCCCCTCCATGTGCTTGTTGGAATTGTGGGGCAAACCTTCCTCTTGTCCTTCTGTTTCCTGGCAGACACACGTGCAGTTCCACGGGTGTCATTTCTGGGTGTCCCACAGCAAGAGACCAGCAGATGGGGGGATGACACCAGGTGTGGAAACCCACGAGGACAAAGTTTTGGGGACCTGAATTAGGCTGAATAAGACCTGAATTATTTCCATGTCAAAGGTGCTCATCTGCTCTCTCAGCTGTAGCAGGAGGTAGTGGAGAGCACAGTCAGCTTCCCAGCAGTGCTCAGTCCCTGCAATGCATTACAGGACTGGGATTAACGTGCCTGGGATGTCTCCTGGGTCACAGGAGCCCCATACATCATCCCTTCCCTTCTGTCTCTGTGCTGCCTGTCTGCTCCCATCTCTGCAGCTCAAATTTCCTTCGGGGTGGGGCACCTGGGGCCAGCTCAGGTCCTGCTGGCAGCGAGCCCCGAGCTGGGCTCCTTGCCTGAGTCACTGATGGGCCAGCCCGGCCACGGTGCCCAAATTCACCCCTGACCCAGAGGGGTTTGTCTAGAGCACCACCAATAATCCAGCACTTCCAGAAGAAAAGGGAGAAGCAAAAGAAACCCAGAGAATGTCTCCTCCTGCCAAATTCCCTGCTCTGGTTCTCTCTTGTGGCCGCAGGTTTCTGGGCTGGTTGATCTGGCTGTCTCCCATCTGCACGTTTTAGCTGCTTTTACAAGAAGTTGTAAAGTAAAGACTGGAAACTTCTGTGAATTTTGCTGATTTCTGAAGGGTTCTGTCCAGCACCCATGACTGAAAAGGGCATCCCTGGTTGCTTCAGGACTGAGCTTTGCTCAGGACTAACGGGAGTGAAGCTGGACAAGGGGAACTTTCCTGGGCTCCAGGCAGCTCTTCAGCTCTCCTGGCAGTGCCTCTGCTCCACTGCCCTCATCTTAATGGTGCTAATCAATGATCAATTAAAAGGTAATAAGGCTCCCTGTGCCTGCATGAGGAACAGAGTTTTCCTGGCAGGGAAAGGTCACGGGAGAGCAGTAATGGTGTGCTAATGATGCTAAGTTGCATAATTACCAATCCGTTCCGATGCCTGTCTGGCTGTGAGCTGGTGCAGACAGATGACTGCATGAGGAATGAGGAGCTCTTCTGTGCCAATCCCCAACTCACCTCCTTCCAGTATTCTCTGTGCCCTCAGAATCCCCTCTCCCCTCCACAGGCACCTTCACTGCAGTAAAGACATGCAAAGGTTGAGGGGTTGGAAAGTACGTCCTAAAACTGAAATCTGAGTCAAAGCAAGCATGAAAAATATTCTGTGGTATTTACCTGGACTTGGGTCTGGCTGCATAAAACTCTCTGGGCAGCAGTGGGCCAGTGTAATGCTGTGTGTTTAGCTGGTGTTTCCAGCCACAGGGAGGGTCTGGAGCAGGGGGGGCTTAGTCAGATGAACGCTCTCTGTCCTCCCAAGGGCAAGTCCTGCTTCTGGCTGTGTCTCTTCTTGCATCAGGGCTCCTGTGTGACCGCTCTGTGGCCAAAGCAACGGCGTGGCTGTGACCAGGGAGAGTGCAAACATGATGTCTAGTGGTGATGAGGTGTGGATGGGCTTGGGCTGCCTTTGTGCGCTGCTGATTGCAGTGTCTTTCCTATGAAACGCAGGTTGAGATGTTGCCCCTGTAACCAGAAATGTGGCGAGGGTCTGTCAGGTTGCCCAGGACCTGGGTCCTCCAGGGAGGGTCTGCTGGGAGATCCCTGCTCTGGGACTCAGCGAGGGGCTCCCTCTTGGAGTCACTTTTGGGAACAGGTGGAGAAGAAGTGAGGTTTCAAGACTGGAGAAGGCTGATGACAGAGGATGTTGCAGGACACACGCGGGGTTGAGTGTGGGGCAGGGTGAGCAGGCAGTGCAGCACGAGCAGCTCGATGGTCCCCTCCTCGGCATGCACTGGGGGGTGGTTTCTGAGTCTAGCCCTGTCCCGGGCTTCTCCAAAGAAGCAAACCTTGAGATTCAGAAACAAGCTGCCCCTTTCTCTGCCTTGGAAGCTTAATCAGCATTTCAAAAGCCCTGCTGTGTTCATCCTGAACAACAACTGTAGAAACAGCTTCTCCACTCAGCTTATCAGCTCAGCGCGTGCTGCAGCGACTGTGATTAAAATGAGCTGTTTCCTGTTGCACTTTATCTCTGGCAGAACCGATAAGCTTGAGGAATTGATCTCTTTCCAAACCCGTCACCTTGGTACCCACGGGAGAGCCGTAAGTTCTGGGAAGAAGATCCTGGAGGTGTGAGCAGCAGGCACATAACCCTTGGTGTACATGTATGCAGCACTTCAGATTCTGGGCAAAAAGCAACCTGTCCCCATTTCAAGTGGCTGATCTCTTCCTCAGCACTGGCCAGTCACTGACAACCCCTGTGAGCACAGACGTGCCCAGCTCATCAGCACTAGGCAGTTCCAGCACCTACCATGGCACTGGATCCCTTTCTTGCAGGTGCCTCAAAGTTTCCTGCTCACAAGCGGGTAACCTGTGATTGATTAACCTGTAGGTAAGAACCTGCACCTCCTGGTGTTGGTACCTGTACCAAAATATCAGTGAAATGATATTTTCCACCTTTGCAGGACAAAACAAGACTTGAACAGTTTGTGGTTTATTATTATTATTATTATTATCTTTTGCTGTTGCTCTCTCCTTATTATGATTTTTTCCAAGACAAATAAAAAGAGTTGGAGATGACTCAGTTTAGAGAAATGAAAAAGGCAACTTAAATACCATCAAATGG